CATGGTCCACTCTCAAATCCAGTCATCTGTGGGATCAGGACAGCAAGTGGGACCACAGCTTACATGCTGCCAGGAGATCACTTCCTCCCAGTACCATTTTCCTAAGTTTGGGAATCGCTATTTTACAAGCATCAATAACTTGCAAGAAATTTTCCAAGCTCTACCAAACACATGTTTTGAGTTTGCAAGAAGTTCCATTACAGAGAGAGAGCTGTTTAAAAAGTAAAAATTAGTGAGATCAAGATAATAAAATAAATACTGCTGACCTAACATTCCTTTGCCAGGATGAAACACAAGGCAAATCGGGCATTTCCTACAGCTCTTTGCAAACATTGCGTCCTTGGAAGTGCGATGGATGGAGCAGTGCTTTAGTGCTCAGGACACCTGGACTTCATTTCCAGCTGTGTCACTTTTCTGCTGAGTGACCTTGGGATGTTACTGTAAAACAACACTCAAAAAATCTATGAATGAGAAGTGCTGCACGGGAACTAGGCTCTTCTGCCATCTTCCCACAGCACTGACACACAATCCTATGTCACAGCTGGCATTTCTGTCACAGCCTGCTTACAGTCCTAATCCTACAAAGAGTTCTCTGTGGAAGGGACTTTAATAGAGCAGTTCTGTTTGCAAGAAATAAGTCCAAAAGAGATGTGTGAAGCCAGAAGGATACTTCTACCTGGGTTTTTAATAGACTTAAGATCCAGGTTACAAATTAATATCCACAGGATCAAGAGAGCATTTCAATTTCAGGCATATACTTTGTGGCATTGGCATTGCATTGCCTGCATTTTTAAGTCCCATTCACAACTGCAGCAATAGAAAAAAAAACCCAATAATGATAGGTGATAACTAGGTCTGTTCAGTCACACAAAAGTACCAGTCATGTTCCATTTCTGTAGACCACTGGGATTTTATGCCATTGAGAACAGTATCCCTATGGCTGTAACACCAATTTTCCGTACTCTGGTAAAAGCTTCCCAGAAACCAAAAGAAGGTGGAATCTGTTTTAATCCTGCCCTGTTTACTCACTCTAGGACACCTGTTTTCAAGTAAATCCTTAGCAGAAGCCAGTGAATCGAAGTGCCTTATCCTGTAGGACTGAGGCCTACATTTTGAAATCTTTAAGGGATACTTAACTGAGCTTTATCATCAGGAGAGGATCACTTTAACATCTGAATTTCCCAGGAGCCATATACATGATTTATCTGTCTGAAGGTTTAGAATCCCATCCAGCCTAAGAAACAGAACCTTGAACAGGCCACCGGACATTTCTCTTACCTTGTTTATTAAATACCCACTGCCAAGCTCTCTGAATATTGAGCTTCAAAAAGATTAATCAGAAAAACCTAAGAATCACACTTATCTCATCCAGCAATATCAAATCCTTCATGATGTCTACCAGAGTGAAATAAACAAACTCTCTTGTAATAAAACCTTTTTTTCTTTTCTGAAACAAATTCAAGTTTTTCATAGGTTTAGAAAATGTGGTTCTGGCCAAGGCAGATAAGCGACAAAAACAGCAATGAGGGACTAAATGTACAAATATATTGCTTTGTAGATAATTTTATCTATTTGCACTAAATAATTTATTAGCTGAACATCACTGGCATGTATAAATTGGCTCTAACCAAATCATCTAACCGTTTTTTCCCATGGTTGCCATTGTGCACACATTGCAAAATTCTCAGATGTGTCATGAAAGACATTATAGGCCTACATCTCAAACAGCAAAAAGTCCAAATTATTATCCAGATACCTGTCTTCAGCTGCAACTTCTTCACTGTAAGAGACAATAGGTGCACTCACATTGGGTTGGTAAGTTAAAGAAGCCTTTCATTCATTCATTCAAAACAAACATTACAACTAATATGGTTCACAGAACACAAATACTGAAAATCACTGGTACAATTCCAGGTCACAATTACTCTTTATATAAATGTCTGTCCTAGTGGAATCTGAAGAAGCAAACACAAAGAAGGTAATACCCTGTAGGCATAGAAACATGTTCAATTCCTTGTTTAGGGCTCTGACAAAGAATATAGTCACACACGAGGCTGAGTATCTGGATTCTGAGATATCTGTCTCCAAAGCTGGAAAGGGCACCAAACACAAAGCACCCCTTCCAGACCACATTGCCTGGGTGGGCTGCTCCTCTGTGGAGTTCTCAAAGTCCACATGCAGGTCAGGCTGCTATCGGTCAGCCTGAGATCTGAGACTCCAGCAGGCATTGGGATCATGTTCCCAAGGCAGCCATATGTCAGATGCAAGATTATATTCTCTAGCAAGGCTGCAGCAATTCAGCAAAAATGCATGTAATTCCAAATACTTCAGCCTCAACAGATCTGTGTTTCCAGATCTTGGCATCGCTGGAACGTTTCCAGACAGTTCCACTCCCATCAGCATTTGTCCCGAATCTCTGGATGGTGCTACACCTCTGACACACAGGTACACACAAGATAAAAAGAACGTGTTGGAATGAGGTTACTACCCAAAGCTTCAGGGGCATAAAAATTGGATGCAAATTATTAGATCAGACTTGGATCCACCTATGATGTTCAACAGGTCCTGGCTGACAGGTTTGCTTGGAAATGATAAAAGGCAAAAGCAAAGGGAAGGGGAGGAGAAGAGGTAACTAACAGACTCCTTAGTAAATTCATCCTGCTGAGGTCATGGAGAAATCACCAAGGGCCTCCCTGTTTGTGGCATATCTAGAGACATATAAAATAAGATTATGTGGACAAGACTAAGATAGAAGGAGTTTCTATTTTATTTGGAGAGCAGTTACTTATAAAAACAAAATAAACAGGCAAAGGGCCTTGTGGATCTGCTGATCAGCTCTGCCTGTCGAATTAAAAAGGAACTGTGGGTATTTCCAGATGAGTTTAAGAAGCATCTTTACCTTGAGGCATCAGTGTTAGCCCCAACAGGACATTTCAAGTGCCCTTTAATCACCAGTATGAAAAGGAAGAGCTAATGATGAGAACAGATGGGGGGTTAGTTTCACATCCTATTATGAAGCAAACTATATAATCCTTACTCAGGTGGGAGCTCAGGCTTTAATTCTGTACATCACAGCAGAATGTGCTGCAGTAAAAGAGAACATTCCTGGCATTATTCTGAAATCACAGTCTGAACGCCATTTGATACAAGAAGAAAAGATGATTAAGTAAACAAATTTTAAGAGATCATGAGGTAACTCTACCTCTTGTCTACTAGAAGATTAAAAGGTTGCTTGTTACACTGCAAAAAGTACTGCATCTAATAAAAAGCTGTGTTGTTAGCCCACAAATATGGAGAAACAATTTGTTTGACTTGCCACAGTAGGTAGCAATAGAAAGGAGGAGAGCATTCTGAACAACTGTTTGCTTCTGTCATTGCAGGAGAGGAAGAATTGCCCAAGGCAGGGATATTTCCTGGTATGGCACAGGGACTTTGATAGTCAGCTGGTAATACATTTACCAGCTATCTAGTTTTCCCAGAAGTGTCTTGACCTGAGCTGACTCATCTGTGTCCCAGGAGGCTGACTAATCATTCTGATTTATTATCCTGTGGCCTGCTAGCCATTTCAGTTCTGTTTACATTGGTGCCAGTACTAAATTTTATACAGGGCAAACTAGGTTCTGTATAGGCATAGTTATTTAAACTAGATTCAAAACCAAGCCAAACTTATCACCAAGCATCCACAAAATTGAAATAAGTACAAAATGACACTCTGCTGAGCAACATCCTGGAAAAAAAGCTGAAAATTTAAAGGGAAGGCAGAGTTACAAGACAAGCTAATAAGCCAATTAAGCCTGGAGTTAATTGGTGATTGTAGGCATCTTCCAATGAAATTACAAAATTCCAAGGACTGCTTGTAACCTACAAAAGAACCATATGATCATTTTTAACAAGGCAGCAATGGAGTACTGTGTATGGGAAACAATCTCAGTCCTATTGAATGAATAGCTCTTGGTGGCAAGCATATACAAACCATGGTGTGGAAACCAGCAAAAAAGCCTCTTGAAAAAGCCAGAGAGTGTGGGCCCACATGCCTTCATTTGCCCCAAAAACTTGTCCTAAATGAAGCTCTACCCCAAAAAACATACTTGGGATGGGCATAAGTGTGTCACCTTTGTGTGATACTGTTATCACCTGCAGACTGCAGTCAAGGAAACTTCCACTCATGAGACCTAAAGTAGACTAAGCAGAAGACTCAACAAAGCATGAAAAAAAAAAAAAAAAGAGAAGGATAGCACAACTGACAGAGTATTTTCCAAAAGCAATCTTAAACCCACATGCTCAGATATACAGTAGTACCTCACTAGCTACAGTAATTTGCCTATTCCCACCAGTATTACATTTGAGATTCCATACTGCTTGTATCTTACTGATTTAAACATAAATTGTGCACAATTTATTTTATCTTGCTTGCTTTGGAAGCTCAGCTTGGGATCTGAGATTCACTCTGACAAACGGCTTTCTCCATCTCAACCCACAGTAACAGTCTGTGGGACAGATAAAGGCACTAACAGGTCCTCTGCCAGAATTTTGGATCAGAGTCAAATGGAGAAGTGAACACCACACTGTTTCTCAAAGCCAGACTCTGAACACTTCCTATAGAATTAATAAGTAGTAGAAATGTCACCATCTTAAGTTTCAGCAATTGTACAATAAAAAGATGGGATACTGGGTTATTGAAATAGGAAGGTGTATACCCTGTGGAAATGATGTCTGATTTTCTTAGCAGATCTCTTGTTTATAAATTAGTATTTTAAGAGAAAAACAAATCCCTTATTTAAAGAAAGTACCCAAAACTTCTAATCTTACCTTCATTTCTGAGAAAAGTATATTGCTTACAGTGGCCTTCACTTAAAAAAAATACTGATGCCAGCAAATCCCTGCCAGCTGTGCATGAGAAACACTCTTAATTACCCTGAACTTTATAGTAGTAGTGACGTTTCCAACAGACATCTTTAGCCACTGATAAAAAATATTTTGTATTTCTTCAACTCACTCACATGAAATGGTTGTTTCAAGTGGATCTGTCTTTGTGGTTTCCTGGATTTCTTCAGTCTTGTTGGAAAGCTTGTAAATTCCCATGGCTGATAGCAAGCTAAGGAAGGAAATAAAAAATAGTAAATACCACTTCAGTGGTGTAAGTCTTTTTATGCTCTTTTTTGGCTGAGAGTGCATTTCAGGAGATTGTTATCTGCTTTTACATAAACTTCAAAACAGTTCCATCTGGGAATCCATCTGTATGTCCATTTTGCACCCTCAATTGAACTCCCTTCCACCAAATCAGGCTTCACTAAAGATATATATTGGTAGATTAGTATTTGGCTGAATTAAGTGAGTCTGGGCTGCTAGTTTATTTTACAGGAGCACTTGACAATATCAATACAATAAATGGATGAAGCAACTAGATGGAAAATTACTCTTTAATATCTTATTACTTCCTGCAGCTACAGAGCAAAATATGTGAAAGAAACAGTAAGATAAATCAGATGATCTTTTTTCCGTGCAGTGACTGGGTATTTAATATCTGCTGATTTTTAATTATATTTTTGAAAATGAAGATGCTTTAAATTGAAAACAAAATGTATATAGAATATATTTACTACACAGACAAATGTCAGCCGATCAGCTTTGTGAAGTTCTATCTCTTTTTGCACTCAGATCATGTACTAAAATTGCTTGTGCTGCTTACTGCCTGTATTGCTGCAGATGAGACCAGAATGCAGCCCAGCACAGCTGCAGAGAGCATGAAATACACAGCAAGGACTATTAGTTACTGACTCCAGTTTACTTTTCAAAAAGCACCTAACTGTCCCATATGCCGTAAACAATCCCATGACTCCTGGAGAACATGAATAATAGTGGAAGGATCACGACTTCTGAACAGAAGCTTGCAGATTTTGCTGAACTTGTTCCAAGAGAAGCCATAGGAAGAAATTCTGAGTAGCATAATGCTGTTAGAGGAATATTGACACCAAGTTGACCCAGTGACAGCACTCAGAGCTGATGAAGAGATTTAAATGGTGCATTCTGCTGAGGGGTTCAAAAGTCAGAAGTCATAACCTAAAATAATTGTGTATACCGGAAATTCAAACTATTTCACTCAGGGTCAGAATAATGAACTCATAGAATTAGTTGCCAACTAAGAACATGGAAACACTGCAGTCTAAGTGGCTTGGAGACATCTTGGCACTTTTATGGAGAGAGAAGGGATTAAAGGATCTAGTGACAAAACAGAAAAGTGGGGGTTAAGAAAAACTTAAGGGTGGACAAGCCTCTGAGGTCAAGTGGAATTTTCCTCTCCAAACGTCATTTCCTCTCTTTTATGTCACTCTTCCCAAAGACCTCATGTCACAATCACTAAAGCTTAGATGAGGAATGGACTCCTACCAGATTGAAACAGGAATGAAAAAGCACTATCTTTTCCTCTGCTCCATAATAGAAGCTGCTAACCAACAAGAACAGACTTCTTTATCTATATACAACGCCATGCATTTGACCCACTCAATCTAATGCAGCACATGAGGTTTTCTCATATCAGCCTCTTCCTGTAACCTTATCTTCCCCAGTCCCATCAGAATACTACAACTGGCCAGATAACAGAATTAAGCTGCAATAGCCTAATGTCACAACACAACACAAAACAACTGTCTAGTGTACATTTCATTGGTGACATGCTTCTTAATGAGTACTACCCAAAACATTTGCAGTATTAGCATGGGCACGCCATTTGCAATTGCAAGAAGTATATGGAGCTACTGGCCAATGTTTTAAGCATTAATTAAGTGACAAAACACTAATAAAGGCACTATTTTAGACAATTTTGCCTTGTCTTGTTTTAGAAGAAATCCTGTTCCCATGAAGAGGTTGCATCAGATATAAAAACATTTCAGTGGAAAGTACACACATATAAAAAGCATATGTAAAAGTAGGAGCATTTTTAATTTGTCAGGTATTAAAGCAAGATTTTATTAGCAGTTTTTACTGTTTGGCTCTTCCAGAAATGGTTCCTGCAAGTTAACTTGTACATTGTAGCTGCTTTTCTTTGCCTCTCACATGAGTTGACACCTACTGCACCAGTTGAGGCACACAGGGGCTTCTCCAAGCAGCTTGGTGCTGATTTGTCCCCAGGAAATGTGGGATACTCAGATATTCACTGTGGCACTAGCTCACTGCATTGTGCTATGTCCTGCTTTGCTGAGTTAGGCTGCAATTTCTTGGTCTCCAATGTAACTATAAAAACAAGATCTAAGAAGAAGAGTAGGTAGATTATGCCAGGGGTGACGCTCTTTACTGATAAAGATCATCAGCCCTCTGCTCTTCGCACTGATAAAGCTGTCTTGGAACCTGACTTTTCTCAACAGCACAAACCAAATCAGGTTTTCCAGAGCCAGGTCCACCTGGGTATATATCAGCAGAAAATCACCCAGCTGTTTCTTTTTCAAAAGGTGTGAAGAGATCCCTTTGCTGATGTTTTGTGGAACACGCAGTTGTATCTCAGCAGACTCAGTAATGCTTACCTGGCTTGTGTCCAAATCTTGCTTGCTGATGGGCTTCCTCACAGGGAGAGGCATGAACAGATTTTGCACCTTTCTAATCCTGAGGAAAGTCCCTGAATGTGCCTGATCCATGGCAGCAGCCTGCCAGGACAGAGATCCTCCAAGCACAGCAGGAGAGCTTGAGTGGAGCTGATTCGGATCAGCAATGAGCCAAGGCAAGAGAGCATGGGGCAGGCCTGCATTCAGGTGAGGGGATTTGTCCAGAGATAACAAAGAAAAATTTCAATAGTTTTCTGAATTGCAGGGAGCCTAAATGGAGCAAATTTTGAACTTTTGAAACATTTGCCAGTGGTTCAGTTATCTTTTACATATGGCAGAAAAAAGCTTGTGTCTTATGCATTTTACATAGAAAGCAGCTTTGTCAGCTCACATCCTGGGATGTGGCATTAAAGAACATTTCTCTGATTCTACCCACACAGACAGCTCAATTTCCCCAAATCCCTCAGCTTTCAGTTACCACTAAAAACAGATGTCAAAATCTTTGCAGACTATATTATTAAAACAGGTAAACATTTGTTTGTTTTTTCTCTCTCGTCTTCTTAAAAACACTGAAGAATCACACTTTCTTAAAGCGTATCTGAGGTGCCCTAGAATTTCAGCTAACCTACATTTGCTTCTATCCAGTGTCAGTCTGACACCTCTACCTGTCTCTGCAGAATCCCACAGTACTATATAATATGCCTCCAAAACTTATCTAGGTTTCATGTAGTAGAGATATTTTATACTTTGGGACTGATAAAAAGATAATTCAAATTATAATTATAACCATTTGCTCTATATAACAATTACTCCTTACAGCATAAAGCCATTTTTTTTCAAATGTGAATTTGGTTTTGTTAAACCAAACAAGTGGCTTCTAACTTAATATGCAATTAATTACTTTCAAATTATGAGATCTTAAAGCATTGAAGCTCCTTAGTTAAAAAGAACAATTAATTATAGTTTAGTAATCAATTAGAAGCTGTGCATTAGTAATATTTTGTATTCTGAGAGACAACAGTTACACGGACAGAAACACATTTGTGGATGGTACCTCAGAAAAGTAGATGTAAGACAGAGCTGTCTAGAGCTCTACAGTCCTGATTCTAAAATAAAATTAGACAGGGACTCATCAGGTTGAAAAGTTCCAAGTAAGATCTTGATCTCCTTCTGCTTTCCTTCCACCTTTCCTACCGGCTCCATTTTGCCATTTTGGTCCATGATTCTGTTTGCCCTGTAAAGATTTGTCTTTAACAAAACAACTCTCATGAGCATTTCTATGTGTACAAGATCAGTGCTTAAGCAAAACAAGTCCCCATCTCCTCTGAACCCTCTGATGCCATTGTGATGTTAAAGTGATTTATAACTAAGAATTTATATCTCATTATTCAATAATGGGTGTCATTCAGATTTCAGATTCTATCTGACTCCATTAATTATATGTCAATGATTTTTTTCCCCTCCTTTTCCAACAGAAAAATAAAGTGCTGCCAGAACAGTCTGCTGAAAGGTTCAAATCTCAGGACAGCAGTTTTGAATCAAATGGCTCTGACTCAACCAATGCAAGAATGAAAACAGCTATTAGAGATTCCCTGACAAGTTGCTACAACAGGGAAAAGCCTAGAAGTGCTTTTCACCTACCTGCCTCCATGACTTTGGCTCTGTCCTGAGTGGTACAGCACAAAATGCAGCACCAGGAGAATAAATAACCTGGCCTGAAACCTCTGTGGCTTTTCCTGTGGCTGGCACAAAGGGCTCCTCCTTTCCCTGCTCTGACAAGGGACTGACAAGGGCAGCTCTGCAAGTCAGAGGGAAATACTGCAAGTTACACTGCAGGAGGGCATGGGGCCAGAAGAGGCTCAAACTGCCATTGAGCAAGTTAGTAAGGTTTAAATAAGTTTAAAACTTACTTTTCAAAAAGCACCTAACTGTCCCATATGCTGTAACTGTATATATAATAAATATGTACACTTTATTACCATTTTATATTTATCTTCTACATTAGTTCTACCCAGACAAGCTTTTTCTTGTCCTGGTTACCTAAAATTAAATATCAAACACAGGAATGATTTTGCTCTGCATAGTTAAGACCACTTCTGGTTTGCTACTTTTGGCTATCAATAAAGATCTGAAGAAGGACTGCTTCCTATCCCTGCTAAGGACTCAGGGACACACCAGGAAAGCAAGCAAGCAAGCTTGGAAAAAAATAGAAGAAAAGCCCCTCCAGGATTTAAAAAAAAAAATAATAATCCAAACAAAAACATGCCGGAAATACACAGAGAGCAAAGAGAAAAGTCACAAAACTTCAAGTCATATAACCTTCCCATGTACTAAATAAATGTCCCATAGCATTTTATTTACAGCATTTAAGGAAAGTACAACAGAGGAAGTATCTCCTACTGGCCAATTCACCTCTTAAACATGTTCACCTTTTTCAGCATCACTTTTATCTGCAAATTTATGGGGACAACATGTACCTGACCTGCATCCAAAGAGACCACAATTTGCATAATATCAGGTGGCTACTTCTGATGAGCAGTAGAGAAGGGGTGAGGAAGCATTTGCCCAAACTCCTCTGGTACAACAGACAAACAGCCTCTAAAGACTTCCTAGAGAAACCTCCCTTCAGGCAGAGCAAGGAGCACAGAATGATTGGGACTTTAAAATTCTTGGAGAGGACTCCCCGACAAGAGGGATAATTGAAATAAGGACCTCTGTATTCTCTTCCTCCTCCCTCAGGGACAATGACAACAGCAGGTAGGAAAAAGGCTGATACCTCCTCATATCTTTGTGTCTTCACTAGAGCAACTGGTAACTAATTATTCTTAAATTAAAACCAGAGCTGGACAGGTTAGGTCCTGATAAACACAATACAGTTTGCTGTTTAGCAGTGTTGTCAGACACTTCATATTTCCTCAACATCATCACTCACAGGCTGCCTAAGCAGCAGAAAATAAATATGAATCATTCAAATTGCTTGAAGGTTTCCTGGGAAAAGTATCTGACTGCATGAGACCAGCTCATGTGTCCAGAACTGCCACATACATAAAGAAGTTCCTTTAAACATGGAAAGGTTGTCGGTTGTGTCTTGTCCTTCTCTATTTGTATATTCTTGACCTTTTATAGTTGCCTTCCTCTATTTGTATGCATCTGTTTGCCACTTACCATTACCAAAAATTCTTCCTCCTGCAATCTTTCAAGACTTTTGCTCTGGCCAAGCTGTCACATTAACCTGGCATCTCTGAAGGCACTGCTTGCAGCTAAATCTGTGCAGAAAAGCCACCAGGCTGGAGAAACAGCAGGGAAAGTTCAGTTAAAGATAGTACAGGAGACAAGTTGCATGTATGACCTCTCTCCTGCTCTCCAATGACACATCAGTCTCCTTGATCATTCCTACAGATAACAGTAAAACCAACAAATGACACAAGAGAAAAGGACTTCTCAAAGTAGGTGGTGACCTGTGCCACCAATTTCTCTATTAAAGGGATGGTTTTGTTTCTTACTGGTGCTTGTTTTCTGCTGGAGACATATCAAGGCTTGAAATTATTGATCTATTTCTGTTGTCAGTCACTAGATCACTCTTTAAACTTAGATTTCTGTGGTGGGATACAAGATTAAACATAAAATTAATCACCAAAATTCTTTTGCCACTTGAAAGGACAAAATTTCCTATTGAATATGTAAGATCTTTGATTTACACCTCATGGTCACAAAATGTGTTTTCTGCTTGTCTCATTTGGGTATCTTCAGGCTTTTCCAGGTTTTTTCATTCTCTGTTCTTTTTTATCATATAATTACGCAAGGAGAGCAACTTAACACTGTTGCCATAAAGATGAAAGCCCTAAAAGAGTGGCATGTTTAACACCTTTCAACCAATCAAAAGAGCCTGAGAAGACAAAGAGAGAACTCATTATCAATGCTTTTTGTTGGGGTATAAGGAAAATCACCTAATGACTGTCAACCTTTAGCCTTACTTGCTTTGGTTGCAGGCATATGCCACTGCTAAACCAATGTGGTCTGAATTAAATTCCAGGTAAAACAGTCAGAATCCTTCTGCATCCTTACATGGTCTGACTGTCCCAAAGGGGACAGCCTCTATCTGCTCACCCAAACACAGATTCCCTGCACTTGGCTCTGTACCCAGAGTCGTAAGAAAGTCATTTTAGGAACAGTGTTCTAGGTTTCCTAAACACACAATATACATTGGAATAGTTACTGCCAAGGATTAAAATAATGCCTAAGTGATTTTTTCCAGGCACTCCACAATACAGTAATTTTTTCATCCAACAGCCTTTCATGTGACACTTTTATATAAAAATGTTTACAGGAAATAGCAAACTTTCCTTTCGTTCCTCAGGTTACATGTACCCCCATAAAATGCAAATGCTGAGTGAAGTCATTGAGCTACCTGACACTTAAAAATGAACACATCTAAGTATCCTGCTTAAGATCAAATTGTGGCTCCCAGCAGCTAAACAGATATTTCAAACACTGGATAACTGATTTTTTCCTGGCCTCCAACTGCCACTTTTAATGGGGAGTTACACAGTGAATCTTTATTAGCAAAGACGGTGGGCCTTAGGGGGTCCAGCAAAGGCAGTTTCCATTTGCACTTGCGCAGTGTGATGCTCAAGCCTTTATCATTGTGCAGACTTCTAAAATTTGAAATGAGGAGTGGGGACTGTCACAGAGACAAAACATCCAGGAACATACAGTCTCACAGCATACCAGAGTCTATGCACTTTGTAGCAGACCTGTAGGAAATCTGGCAACAGCTGCTGGGAAATGCTAGCCAAAATCCCAGAATCCACTTCAGCAAAGACTTTTCAAAAAAAATGAAAATGTTTCAAATCACTAAAAATCTTCCAGGATTCTCTCTCATCAGAATAGTTCAATAATAATATAAAAATGTCAGTTGCATGGAGTTTTCCTTTTCTCCCATCCTTTCCCCAAAGTTTAGGAGGTGTGTTTTACCACAAAAGAGAAAGCCAAAAAGCCTGAAAACCAAATTGCAATTGCAAAATGCCTTTACCAGTAGCACATACAGAGAGAGGCACACTAAGCCTCTGGCACAACAAACTTAAAGTTCCCAAAGCTGAACTCAATGGACATGGGCATGTGACTCCTAAAATTTCTATGAGAGATGCTTTGGCTATTCCCATGCAGGACAAACACAACACAAGGCCCTCCAGCTGAATGGGAGTGACTCATAAGGAAGCAGCAAAGCTTTCCTAAAAAGGGCCTATCATCACCTTCCTCTTCCATTATTGCTGGAGAGATGTCAAGGCTTTGCTTCTCTTCCCTCTGTCCTTCCTTGCACATTTTTCAATCAAATGATCATGTCACAGTCTTCTTTACTCTCAAGAGAAGCATCCAACCCTTCAGCATTCCGACTGCAATCACCTGCAAAAACAGCAACAGAGCACATGTGCTGCTGCTTGGCCAGCAGGTGGGAAGGATCCCTTCCCCTGGGCTGCACTGGCTGCCCGAGGTGTGCTGTGAGTGTGGCTTTATGCTCGTGGCTACTCCACAGCAGCTCACCATGCCAGGGACACAGGTGCAGCTGCTTGTGGGGCAGTGTGTCCTGGCTCTGTGACATGCCAGCTCAAAACCCTGTGACAGGAACAATCTGTTGGGGCAGGAATTTCTTACGTGTGCTTTGCTAGTGGTAGAAATCAATACACACTGGGGGAAAAGGAGCTTCAGGCTCTCTTCATGTCTTCTCTCTCACTGCCAGCTTTGGGAAGAGAGCAGTTGCTACTAAAGAAAAGGAGCTTCATATTTTGCCATGTTCGTTGTCATGGTTTTTTTTTCCCCCTAAGGCCTTATCCCAGTTACTACAGAAGTAAATTGGCAGGCAAGAAATGCTGGCAGTCAGGAGTCCTATTGCCATAGGGCTGCTTTGTCTCTCAGAGCAAATAGTCAGTGTATTTCTGGTTTATGTTTACCATCAGAGCTGCAGTCAGTCACAGAGGCTGCAGTTCCAGCCTTGCAGCTGCAAGGGGTAGATACCACACCCTGCACAGAGACTTTCAGGAGGGGATGCTGAGGTGCCTGCTCTTGTGTCTCCATAAGCATACCCAGGGACAGTCTGAGGGGTTTGGGCAGCTAGGACAGAGCTGGTTCTTCTGCACAACAAATCAAATTGACCAGCAGTATGAAGTATTAGGCATTTCAAATAATCAGAATTTATCCAAAGAAAATGCTATTTATTCGAAACA